GCTTAACAGAAATCATCCCTGCTGTTAGCCACGTGGTTGGGGGAGGGGTGAAGCAATCATCCCAAAGAATTCAGTGTGTGTGTGTGGTGGGGGGGATTTAGTTGGGTTTGTGCTGCACATTAACCCGTAAACCACAGTGAGTCCCTTGCTGCAGCCGTTCACTCAGACCAGAGTTCCTAAAGATGAAGCGTCATGTACCTTTCCCAGCCATCCCACGTTGATGTTGGTGAAAGGTCCCTTGTGATCCACCAGTGCTTGAGCACCACTGAAAAGTACCCCTTTCGGTTTATGTACTGGCTGCCTTGGTGGTCCGGTCCCAAGATAGGGATATGCGTTCCGTTTATCGCCCCACCACAGTTAGGGAATCCCATTGCAGCAAAGCCATCCACTATGACCTGCACATTTCCCAGAGTCACTACCCTTAATAGCAGCAGCTCAGTGATTGTGTTGGCTACTTGGATCACAGCAGCCCCCACAGTAGATTTGTCCATGCCAAATTGATTTCCGACTGACCAGTAGCTGTCTGGCATTACAAGCTTCCAGAGGACTATTGCCACTCGCTTGTGAACTGTGAGGGCTGCTCTCATCCTGGTATTCTTGAGCTTCAGGGTGGGGGAAAGCAAGTCACAACGTTCCATGAAAGTGCCCTTACGCATGCAAAAGTTTCGCAGCCACTGGGAATCATCCCAGACCTGCAACACTATGCGGTCCCACCAGTCTGGGCTTGTTTCCCGGGCCCAGAATCAGTGTTCCACGGCATGAACCTGCCCCACTAGCACCATGATGTCCAAATTGCCAGGGCATGTGCTTTGAGAGAACTCCGTGTCCATGTCCTCATCACTCTCGTCACCGCGCTGCCGTTGCCTCCTCACCTGCTTTTGAAGTTTCTAGTGCTGCATATGCAGGAGGATAATGCACGTGGTGTTTACAGTGCTCATAACTGCCGTGGTGATCTGAGCGGTCTCCATGCTTGACATGGTATGTTGTCTGCCGAAAAAAGGTGCGAAACGATTGTCTGCCATTGCTCTCACGGAGGGAGGGGCGACTGATGACATGGCTTACAGGGTTGGCTTACAGGGAATTAAAATCAACAAAGGGATTGGGTTTGCATCAAGGAGAAACACACACAACTGTCACACCAAAGCCTGGCCAGTCATGAAACTGATTTTCAAAGCCTCTGTGATGCGCAGCGCGCCTTGCTGTGCTCTTCTAATCTAATCGCAAACAGCCTAGTCAGAAAACAGTGCCAGTGAGCTTTTAAACATCCAAAGGCACATTCTACCACCATTCTTCACTTGTTCAGCCTATAATTGAACTGCTCCTTACTACTGTCCAGGCTTCATGAACCATGGGAGCAAGGGGTAGACTGGGGTAGGTGCAACCGTGCGGTGCTGCCGGCTGGGAGAGTAGCCTGAGGCAAAAGCCTCCAGCTCACATGATATTCCAGGCAGGACTGAATCTCCATTAGATAAAACTTAAAGAAGAGAATGACCTGGAGTCATTCCCATTTTTGTCTAGGTGCCCCTGACTCACCTCACCAAGGTCGGCCAGGAGACCCCGACTGACCTCACCAAGGTCAGCCAGGAGCACCCACGTCTGCCCAGGTGCCCCCGACCGACCTCACCGAGGTCAGCCAGGAGCATCCGCGAGACGACGACGACGGTTAACAGTTGTATTGCACTGTCTGCCACCGGCAAGGCAAGACAAGGCAAGGAGATGCAGTACTGTGTCTGCCAGCAGCACCCAGGAGACACTCAATGGCAGTGAGCTGAGCGGGCTCCATGCTTGCCATGGTATGTCGTCTGCACAGGTAACCCAGGAAAAAAGGTGAGAAACGATGATTTGCCATTGCTTTCACAGAGGGAGGAAGAGAGGGAGGGGGGCCTGATGACATGTACCTAGAACCACCCATGACAATGTTTTTGCCCCATCAGGCATTGGGAGCTCAACCCAGAATTCCAATGGGCGACAGAGACTGCAGGAACTGTGGGATAGCTACCCACAGTGCAACGCTCCTAAGTCAACACTAGGCTCGGTACTGTGGATGCACTCCACTGACTTAATGCGCTTAGTGGGGACACACACAATCAACTGTATAAAATTGATTTCTAAAAAATCGACTTCTATAAAATCGACCTAATTTTGTAGTGTAGACATACACTTAGAAATGAAAATAGAAGGTAGAGGTCACAATTGTCTGATAGGAATATATCTATATAAAATAAAGAGATTGGCAGCAAAAGAATTGTGAAACTGTACAAAACATCTCCTGAAGTTCACTGAAAAAAATGCATGGAAGGTAGGAAAAGAACAGAATGAATAATGTGCATATCAAAGGATTTAAGTTCCAAACTCTACACCCAGGAAATCTGGGTTTTCTCTGCTCTGCCACAAGCTTCCTGTGTGACCACTGCTAAGTCACTGGGGGTACGTCTACCCAGCAGTTAAACACCTGTGGCTGGCCTGTGTCAGCTGACTGGAGCTCACAGGGCTCAGGATGTAGGACTGTTTAATTGCAGTGTAGACGTTTGACCTTGGGCTGAAGCCCAGGCTCTTGAATTCTCCTTGTCACAAACTTGTACACAGTAATTAAACAGCCACACAACGTGAAGCCTGTGAGCCCTAGTCAGCTGACATGGGCCAAACATGGATGTTTAATTGCTGTGTAAACATACCCTTAGGGTAAACTTTTCAAAAGGTACATAAGAGCCAAGTGATACTTGAGTTCCTAAGGTCCTAAAACACTTTTGAAAATGGAACTTACATGCTTCTGAAAATTTTACCCTAATTCTTTCTGGGCCTCAGAATTTTACCCTAATTCTTTCTGGGCCACCACTGTTAATAGTGGTGATGAGCCAACAAAGTACCTGGATAGACAGGTAGATGGAACACCTTTCACTGGGCAAAATATTGTCACTGAATTCTAAGTTCACTAAAGCATGCATTTTTCGGGGCACAGAATTATTGAAGAATTTGGGTTCAATTCAGAAACAGTTTCAGCCAAAAAATATTGAAAACAAAAATTTTGAAAATGTCAAAAGTTTGTTTTGAAAAAAATCAAAACAAACTGTTTCAAAAAGGTTGTTGAAAAAGTCATTTGACTCAACATTCAAAATGTTTAATTTCAACTTGAATTAAGGTTTCAGTTTTGCATTTTGTCCAATGAAATGAAAATGAAATGAAAAAAAATTCAGTTTCAGTTCAAAACAATACATTTTTTCCCCATTTTTTTATTGTTTTGTCTGCTCTATACCCAACAGAACAAATAGAAACCTTTTCTGAACCTTTTCAAATTTCAATATATCTTTTTTGAGATGGGGCAACCACATCTGCAAGCAGTATTCAAGATGTGGGCATATCACAGATTTATATAGAGGCAATATGATATTTTCTGTCTTATTATCTATCCCTTTCTTAATGATTCTCAACATTGTTCCCTTCTTTGACTGCCACTGCACATTGAGTGGATGTTTTCAGAGAACTATCCACAATGACTCCACAACCTCTTTCTTGAGTGGTAACAGCTAATGTAGACCCCATCATTTTATATGTATAGTTGGGATTATGTTTTCCAATGTGCATTGCTTTGCATTTATCAACAATGAATTTAATCTGCCATTTAGTTACCCAGTCATCCAGTTTTGAAAGATCCTTTTGTATCTCTTCGCAGTCTGCCTGGGATTTAACTATCTTGAGTAGTTTTGTATCATCTGCAAATTTTGCTACCTTGCTGTTTACCCCTTTTTCCAGATCATTTATGAATATGTTGAATAGGAGTGGGCCCAGTACAGACCCCTGGGGGACACCACTATTTATCTCTCTCCATTCTGAAAATTGACCATTTAGTCCTACCCTTTGTTTCCTATCTTTTACCAGTTACTGATCCATGAGAGGACCTCCCCTCTTATCCCATGAAAGCAAATTAAGTCAAAAGTCAAAGAGCAATTAATTATATTATATTTCAACAATGTCTAATTTAGAAAAAAAGGATTTTTGCTTTCAAAGGCTCCTAAATTCAGACTAAAATTGTACTGGATGGAAGGGGAAAAAATCAGTTCTAAATGCAAGAATTTCACTGGGAACTTCCTTCCTATTTAAAATTTAAAGTGTCAGGTTTCAGTTGCTAGGTGTTATAGGGGATTGTTATTCTATCCTGTCCTCTGAAAATAGCTGGTCTTCTATTTGGCTTTTCAATATAATGCAATAAAATTATAGAGAGCCCTTTATAAAAGTTCTGAGGGTGTTTTAAATAAAGAAAACAACACCATTGCTGTATTTATTCAACTTTGAAGGGCTCTGGCTTATTCAGTTTAATCTAGGAATGGAATCCATAATCAGCAAGCATAATTATTACCACAGGTGTGAAATCATTTCATACTATTTTATTATAGTGTATTAATAATTCTTTAAGTATAATTAGTATGCTATTGAAGATGGTCTTAAATCAGTAATGAGAACATGACAGATAATCAGCAGTAGCAGATCTGTGTGAATGGATGGGGCAAGGGAAGGTCAGAGGGGAAAATAAGAACACATTCTCAGTGGAGGTTTTGTAATTAAGTAAAAGCACCTTAACATCAACAAGGGATTTCACTGTGCACCTATGGAGAAAGGCAAGGCCAAGAATTACATTGGTGCAGAATCAAGAAAAATGTAAGCTGTCATGTTCATTTGCTGGAGCCTATGGATGACATCCTCTGGGACCCATGCAATGCTAAAATCCAGTAGTCAAACCTAAAGATGCATAAAGTTACATAAAGTTATGTGACTTCCAGAATTGTACATTATGGAGGCCATTATCTAGGATAGATACTGCAGTGTAGGGGTTGAAAAAGAGTGCAAAGCAGACTAGGCTGCCATAGACCTAGCCATGAAAACCAGAGTACATTAATGAAAACTCCATCAAAATGGCAGTCTATCAGCATTGAAAAGCATGGGATCTACGGCCGCCTTGTGTGTCATATCAAGGCACAAGTGGTATTGGTCAGACGTAAACTTACCCTAAATAAAGGTAAATTCGAATCAAACCAGACAACAGCTGCACCAGCAAGTCCCACGGTCAGTCGAAATGTGGAAAATTCCATGGCTGATAGCATCAAATGCTGCCAAGAGAAACAATGGAAGCTAAAGACAGATACAGAAGCATTACAAACTTGGGAAGTAGCAGAGGAATCTTGAAATCAAATCTTTTCAAGTAAGCCACAATTTTAAAAGTAAGGATAACTTGGAAAAGGGGACCCAGATTACCCCTGAGGACATTGTTCTTCCAGCACAAACATGCATATGCTTCAGATATTGCTATTTCCAATTAATCAGAAAACACCAAGGACCAGATTTAGGGATTTAGGCACTTAAATAGGCATATGGACATAAGCCTAAGTGCCACTAACATTTTCAAAGCCGCAGCTCAGGTGCTACCTAAGCCCCCTAGGTGGCTAAGTTTCCACCAGCCAGCATTTGCAAAGGAACTTGTGCACTGCTGCAACTCATAATAAGCTGCTCAGAGTCCTAGCTCAAGCTGAAGTCCCAGAGGCTCTGAACCAGGATTTTTTAAACTAGGTTAGGATATGCCTATCTCACCCAGGTGGCCGTGAGCCTATAGGCATGCTCTGAGCATGTCTACAGATCTGATCTCTGTGACACCCTACAGCCAGAGGGCAGGAGGCAAGCTACAGATAGCTGAAGGGGCAGCACAGCACCCTCACAAAAGACAGCTATGGACACAGGAAAACATAATGCAAGTGTTAGAGAAGTATCAAGTATGTACGGGTTGTGAAAAAGAGTCATAGATGTATGCTGGAAAAGTGTTCTTCGCTCCAGCCAGGGAGTCAAAGTGCTCTACGTGCCTTGCCTGTGTGGACGGGGAGTAAGGTAGAGCACTCTGGGAGGCTTTATTGCGGTATAAAGTGCCAGTGTAGCCAAGCCCAAAGGAATGAATGTTTACCTGTTGGACTAGCTTGGTTACAGATGGAGAACAATGAAAGTACACATGCATATAAGTGAACAAAGCCAAAACAAGAGGGGAGAAGACCATTTAACATTCACACGCGGGAACAGAATCCGCACCCCAGGAAGCCTTCCTGGCTCTTGAGGCAGAGACAATGGATTTTGGATAGTATAATAAGGGGAGCAAAAAAAGATATTTTAGTTATCTATCACTGAGGGGACATTGGGTATAGCACCCTCTGAGCCTGTGAAAGTTAGATCCCCTAGTCTGGAGGACTTCAAAAGTTTTTTTTCTCTTAC